AGAATGGTTAATGAATAAAGTATGGGGAAAACGCTTTTCACAATCATTAACATTATCAGAATCCATGACTGCATATTTAAATGGAACATTGAATAGATTATCGTCAATCATGTATGCTTGATAATTAATGAGTTTGCTTAATTTTGGGTTATTTTCAATCAACTTGAATAATTCTGCTTTGGTGTATTTTCCTCGTTTATCATTATTCGGATAAAATGGCCATTCCTCGACCAAAGGATCATAATCGTAAATCAATTCTTCACCTTTGTAAATTTTTTCCACTGCGAATAAACCCTTCTCATCGACACCATATTTTGAGTCATTCATAACTTTCAATTGAACTTTTCTGTAGAAAGGCATTTTTCAAACAATATCTGAAATAAAAACATAGGCCAATCAAGACTTACTCTTCTCTCATATTTTAGTAATAGCAAAAAGGTATTTTAGCATTCAGAATAAGTGATGTATTTGCGCCTTTTTCTGAAGGTGTGTGCATGAAGATGAAATTGATGTGTAAATCTTCTACCCGCATACCCACCCTCACTCTTACAAGACCTTCAAAACTGATCATCGATTCGTTGACTATCGTGTCGCCAGTTGGTAGGAAATATATCAAGATTATGTGCTCGTTCTTGATCTAAGCCACAAAATAATATTATGAATTTCCATGCGGTTCAACATCTGAATGAGATGTGCTCATTTTGTTCATAGCAACAAACTTGTGGACACTAACCGAAAGGACTGTAAAATCAACACTAGGTAACAAAAATAGAGGTGACTGCGGAAGAGTATCCAATGCAGTTGAATAAAGTAAATGATAATAAGAGAAATCAGTAATTGCATCAATATTGCTATGAATTTGAGCAACAACTGTAGATGTTGTACCACATAGTAGTTGTATGTTTCGAAAAGAAGGTCTATGTTGATAACCTCGTGTTGATAAATGAGTATATATACTGGTTGCGTCAGTCGTGGACCAAGTATTGTAAGTTGGGCTGGTAGAAAGTAGTATTGCTGATTTTTGTAGAACTGCGGATACACAAGCAAGTAAATAGTTTGTTTTTACTGGATTCTTCTATAAGAAGAAGAGAATATAGATATTCATCAATAAACTTACACTGCTTTTAACTGATCATTATTAGAATTTTATTCATTAACGTTTTGCATTTGTTCTTGTTGTAAATTAGTTTGTCTATCTTGTTCTTGTGGTAATGTTACATGTTCAAGTGTTTGTTCAAGAAAATCAAGTAATAATGGATGAATAGTTATTTGTATTGTAGGTTATTGTGTCATAGCACGAGAATAAAAATTAGCTCGTTTATTTAATGCACTATTCATAGTATTATTATGTTTAGAATTACAATGTGTATCAGCATCAACACCTTGTAAGAAAAATCTGTGATACTTGATAATCAACTTTATTTATATATACA